TAATAATAATAATAATAATAATAATAATAATAATAATAATAATAATAGAAATTAATACATGTAGTATGGCCTATTTTGTTATCTGCAGCTCTAGTTTGCTTCCGAACATAATTTGGCCTATGTCATCTAACAAAAAATACCACCTAGAAATTGGTGAGCTTTGCACTCATATTTTCTGGAGTCCGCGATTAAGGCATGAGTAAATCCCTCCAGAGTAAATCCCTCCACCCTCCACTTGTTTCTGTTAAATTACTTTTATTCTGTCCTTTGATTCAATTGTTGAATATAAAGACAGATAGATAACTCTACGAATTCTTCCATACAAAGTTTCTTTTATTGGATTATATTAGGTATCCTCAAGGTAACTCACACTTATGCTGAGATGCATCTAATGTCCAATTCTTTGCATAGTTGAAATCATAGTGTAAAATGATAGTAATTCTTTCATCCCATATTTCATCCCATAGTGGAGCCAAAGGAGAGACGCTAGTTCGATGCTAGGGTCCGAGCAAGAGTGAAGAAATCTCCCCCAACCCACCAAGGGTCAATTCAGTGACCAATCAGGATTACAGAAGTGACCACATGACATGGACTACATTTCCCAGGATACCTTAACTACATTTACCATGATGCATTCCCTTAAGGGGATAGCTCCCAATTACTAACTAACTATACCAATTCCCATTAACTAAAACTGGCTGGACAGCACAACTTTTGTTTCCCTGAAACATTGTTAGTTTCTTCGTTTCAGTTAAGCTACTTTCATTTCCATGTATCTCATTTTGAGCAGTTGTTATGAGTAGTTTCGGATTACTTTTTTAAAAATAAAAATGAATATATGGTTCCTCCCTGCAGCCAGCCATCTGTAGTTTACATAGCCACCGCAGATATTCTAGATGGGAGCATTTTGGGGTAGAATTAGCGGACAGGAAAGCTTTTATAATCAGTACTTCCATAGTGGAAGTGTCCTATGAGCAGTGGGTGTATTGGGTTGGTGCGTGGGGGTCAATTTCCACTTAACATCTAATTTCTATAGTCCAAGAAGGTACAGAAACAGTGCAGAGAAGAATAACAAAGATGATTAAAAGCTTGGAGACTAAAACACATGAATGATTCCAGAACTGGGTATGGCTAGTCTACTCTAGAGAAAAGAAGGACTTGGGTGACATAATAGCAGTATTCCAGTACTTGAGGGGCTGCCACAGAGAAGAGGGGGTCAACTTATTTTCCAAAGCTCCAGAGGGCAGGACAAGAAACAATGGATGGAAACTAATCAAAGAGAGAAGCAACCTGGAATTAAGGAGAAACTTCATAACAGTGAGAACAATTAACCAGTGGAACAGCTTGCCTTCAGAAGTTCTGGGTGTTTCATTACTGGAGATTTTAAAGAAAAAAATGGATACTTGTTTGACATGGTATAGGGCAGTGATGGTGAACCTTTTCGACACTGAGTGCCCAAACCGGAACGGGCATGCATGTGCATGCATGTGTGTGTGTCAAAGTGCTGGAAAACTGAAGACCAGCTGGCCAGTGCGCACATCCCTGTATTTTGGCTGGTTTGGGGGCCATTTTCAGGCCACTTACAGGCTGTTCTTCGGGCCATTTTTGCCACCCAAAATGGCCTGGAAAACAGGCCAAAAACCACTTGTTTCTTGGCCATTTTCAGGACATTTTTGGGCCATTTTCCAGGCTGTTTACAGGCCATTTTCTGCACCAAATGGCCAAAAAAAGCCTGAAAACAGCTCAAAATGGCCCAAAAGCAAGCCTGAAAATGGACCAAAAAGGCCCCCAAAATGACCTGTTTGGGGGCCATTTTCGGCCATTTTCCAGTGCTCTGGTGCCTGCAAAGACCAGCTGGGTGGTGTGCACATGTGCGCCAAACCTAGAAGAGCAGCTGGCGATGATGCGTGTGCCCACCAAGAGGGCTCTGTGTGCCACCTCTGGCATGTGTGCCATGGGTGCCATCACAGGTATAGGGTCTCCTGCTTGAGCAGGGGGTTGGACTAGAAGACCTCCAAGTTCCCTTCAAGTTCTATTCTGATTAAAGGGAAGTAGCTTCCTCTTAAGGGATGTAAAAATCCTAATTGTGTTCTTAATTTGGGCAATTGGGTCAGGGTTTAAAAATTTGGAGGGCCACAAGATGTCCATAGCTTTTGGGACTTTGCCATTTCACTTCTTTCTGGGGTTGTCCAGATTTTTTTTTTGGGGGGGGGGGCAAACTAGGCTGATGCTCCAGTTGTGTTCTGATAAGAAACCTCACTACATCCGAGAAACAAAGCTGGAATACAGATCCCTGCTCTTATGTCCTTCACAGTAACTTGTTCTGTCCAAATCAGTATGAGCTAGTTGGAAGATGGCAATCAACATGGAAGATGGCAATCAACATGCCCGATGCCTTTAGATCCAACTGCCATTAACAGGACAGAGGGACAGTAGAGTAAAACTTTGTCCATTTGAGAGATTCCATTTAGCTGGGTGGATCTGAGATGGCACTAGGATTTTTAAAAGAGCCATTTTGCATTGGAATGGAAGCAAGAAGACAGCCCTTCTCCTTATTCATGATTAACTTTTTCTTCCTGAGAAACTTGCGTGCTTCCTGAGCCCTTCCGGCAATCTTCTGCTGTTGGAAGGGAATGTTATCCCACGTTAAGGGAACAGCAGTCAGCTGGATGCAAGCGTTCTGGGATGCCCGGAAGGCAGAGAGATCGGCCGGAAATTTGAGCGGAAGAGGCGGTAAAGACGGAGAAAAGTTTAAAAGGGGAGGATTTGGCGGGAAAAGAGGAAGGAAAAGGAGGGAGAGAACGGAGGAGGGGGAAAGCAGAAACGAAAGCGGAACAGGGGCAAAAAAGCGATACGCGAGCGGCGGAGGACGAGAGAGACAGAAATAGAGGGAAAGTGCCACGGAGAAGAATAGGGGCGCAGGAAGAGCTGCGCGGACGATCGGCAGAGGAAGAGAAAGGCAAGCGGGGAAATAGTAGCTGAAACGAAACAGGGAGAAAGAGGGGGGAGGCCGGGGAAAGCGCAGGTCTAAGAAGGGAGAAGAAGGGCGAAGGGGGAGAAGGGCTTACCTGCTTGTACTATCACCGCTCTCACCGCGGGGCCCGTGCTTGGTGGGGCTGCATGAGAGCCCAGCGGGGCAAGAGAGGGAGGGAGCGCGGAGCCAAGAGAGCCGGAGCAATGTAGGCGAGCTGAGCTGGGCAAGCGAGCGAGCCAAGAGAGCGATCAGCTGAATGGTGGCCACGAAAGAGCTGAGGCTGGAGGGGGAGAATGGACTAGCGGAGCCAGGAGCCGGGCTGCTGAGCGAGGATGACGAGTGGATGGGACGAGAGAGGCGAGCAGAATAGAACGGCAGCTGACGGGGCTAAGACAGTAGGAAACCCGAGTGTCTGGAGAAAGGGCCAGAGTCACGGGCCTCCAACCTTGCCAAGTTTAAGACTTGTGGACTTCAACTCCCAGAATTGCTCCTCCAGTCATGTTCGCTCAGGAATTCTGGGAGTTGAAGTCCACAGGCCTTAAACTTGGCAAGTTTGAAGACCCTTGGCCAGAGGGGCTCTTTCAGGTGGTTAACTTTCCCTTCCTGAGAAAGTTGTCTGGACTTACTATTCTCCTTCCTGATCCCTTTTGGCAATCTTCTGCCATTGGAGAGGAATGTTATTTCATAAAGTGAGATTAAAGAGAAGAACCAGATTTTGCCTCCTTAATGTCAAGCATTTCCTCACTTGTGTGTTTGCAGGTAACTTAGCTGTACTTAACTTCTAATAAGAATGGCCAGTGGAAACGTAATTCCCTCTCATGGAACCAACCTAATTCAAACATCCCAGGGGTTCCCCTGTGTTGCTGTTCAGGTATCTGGAGCAATACCAAATCATCAGTATGGAGCTCAGCAACTTGGAACTTCCATCAATGCTCCTCAACAAGTGCCCCAAAATAATTTGGAGAGATTCTTCAATGCTGAGATCAAAGTACTTGGGGTAAGCATGTTTGCAATGTACCTGTTTGAAGTGCATTACGATGTTATTGCTATGTAGAGACCTGACAGCCCCACTGTTGATCAGGAATCTAATAATTCAAATGAAAGTCTTGAGGGAATATATGTGCAGTTGGCACAGTTATCTCAGCAAGTCTTCCGGGTCCTGCAAAGTTCCCCAGGAGACACCCAATATCCCTGAGGTAGCACTCAATGTCCTTGGAATGCCACCAAGAGAGGTAGCTGACTGTTTCTGTAGTTCTTTATCTTATCTATAGAGTGCCAGTTTTTCTGGGTGATGAAGTAAACAATGTAGCAAGCATATAAATAAGAGTGTCACAATGTGTTCAGGGTACCCTTCTCAAATGAGAGGAGGACCATCTTTATTAAGCTGAATAAACATGTAAAGCTTATTGAGGCTGTGAGAGTTTGTTGCAGAAAATCAAATCCAGAAAGCACACACAGTTCACTGATTCAGTAGGATTCATTAACTTCTTTATATACATAATAACACATGAAGTAAATTTACAATACCAACATCAGATTTTTCCAATATGATAGAGGAGAGATTGTAAGTAAGTTCTTACTTTCAGTTCAACAGACAAGTACAGATGAGTTTCGTTTTAGAGCTGAGCACAGAGCTAAGCCACGCCCAGACTCCTTCCTTAAGTTTCTGTTTCCAAAACAGCCCCCATTGGCTGATCCAGTTGCCATGCCTATTCATTGGCTGACCTTGTTACCATGTCTCTGCCAGCTCATGAATATTCTGACAGAGGCAAATACTGGGACTCTGTCTTTATTATACCAAGCTTCACCTGAAAACCAACAAAACACCATGCTGTGAACTTCTTGGCTTGGCTGTTGTTTGGTTTTGGAGTATATTCCGGAAACCTCTGTTCTTCCTGGTAGTTTCTTTTGCATTTGCAGAAGAATTCTGATTCGGATGTGCATTTCTTTGCTTTGCTCTTTAATTGAGAAAGAGGAGCTCAGTGATAATTTCAGCCAGATTTCTTTTTCTCCCTTCCCTCTGAGAAGTACAACTGTTGGGCATTTTTCCACAAGAACCTGGTCATAGATTGGCTGCAGTCCAAGCTGATTGAAGTCTCTTTGTGCTTATGATCCTGCTTAACTTCCTCTTGCAGAGGAGTCTGTAGTGAGAGAAGTGACATTCTTCTCTCAAAGGCCTATCCTGATATTCTTACAAACCTTCCTGACAAGAGCAGCCTCACTGTAGGTCAAACTCTATTATAATTTGGAGTTAATGTCCAGCATGTCAGGGCTCCTGCGATGACCCGTAGTCTCTCAAAATAACCCAAAACATATATTAAAGTCCAGTAAAGCCTTCAACTTAACTTCACTGTTTTATTAGGCATAGTTTAAAGTCACAAAAGTAAATAATGAGGCAAACAGAAAACCAAAACAAACCACATTGATGAGAGTTCTGAAGCAAGCCGAGTTAACTAATTATAAACTCTAGGAAAATAGCCAAGAAAAGTCCATGAGAAGAACACCAGCAACGATAAACCTCTTTCAAGGTGTACACTAATTGACTTCAGCAATTCTAACTGCGCAGTTGGAAATGTATATACATAGCTCCCACCTGCAAGGCACGAGGAGGATCATGGTAATCTCCTCTTGAGTAGACCTTGCTTTTCTCTGATCCTTTCCTCCCTGCATGACCTAGGATGGATAGGGGATGGGTCTGGATCCTCCTCTGACTGCTCAGCCGGCCTCTGCCCTTCCCCAGCCTCCTCCACCATCTCTGGAGCCACACTCCCACTCCCTGTTGGCTGTTCCTCCTCTTCCTCAGAGTCAGACTCCACCAGGGGCATGACAGCTCCAACAAATCCACCTCCATTCAAATCATAAGTCTTTAGCCTCATCTCTCAGAGTAAAAAAAAAAAGATTTATTAGAAGTAGCCATGTTGGCGTTAGCTGGATGCAGCTGACACTAAAATACATCTTTCATTTCTCCCTTGACCTTGGTCTTCCCCCCACCCCCTGGATGTATATTCTCCAATGCGACACATTCATAGCCAAGAGTCATCAATCATGCTCTCCAGTAATATTCTTGCGCACCGACAACTTTGGGCTGACAAGGCGATTATCTGAGGCACTTGAGGAATTTCCCCCCACTCCCTTTCTGTTGGCAGCTAAGAAGACCAAAGGAGTATCTTTTTAGTTGACACAGCACATAGTGACAATAGTGTCTCAAACTGCCCCTTCTCCCCATTCGGATTTTTTCCCATAGGAAACCAGGCCTTGGGTCAAGCCCTGCACTGCAAGCTTAAAAGGTCAACACCTTTGAAGGACCGTAGGTTGATAGAAAGTGATGCCTTTCCTGGGGTGCTAACAAATTAGAATATTTGTATTTCTTGGATTCAGAGAGTTAACTTGTCTTATTTTGTGTGTTTTCCTTCTGTAGACCGTCCAAATCATGATTGGGTTGATGCACTTTGGCCTTGGGGCTGTTGCAATTTGCCTTACGTTCGGAGGCTACTTTGCCATTTCTGTATTTGGAGGTTACTCCTTTTGGGGAGGGATCTTAGTAAGTATGTGCCTGTTCCTGTTCAATCATTCACGATGGAATTAATGGCCAAGAGCACCTATCAAAGTCCTGTCTGCCCTGCAGCACCCTGATTTCCTCATTATGAGAGATGGTCCAAGGGGACTTTTATTTTAAAAAGCCATCTGAGTAACAGATGAGAACTCATTACTGTCCTACATTAGAAGAATATAATAGGCTCCAAAATGCCACTTAAATAAATTAGGAAAACATTCTAATGAATCTGAAGAAAGAAATAGAAAAGAAAAGGCCTCTTTTGTAGAGGAAGAGGAAGGGAAATGAAAAAATAGTTGGAAGCTATATTTTGGAAAAGTAGCAATCAGATTTAGTTTAAAAAGTAAGCTGCGGAAATTTTGAGGTCTCTTATCTCAATGGAAGCTGAAACTTTTTTTTTTTTGGTATGGAATCCTAAAAACCAGCTCCAAAAATTTCCTCACTTTGCTTCATTCCAGCGTTCCCTAAGGATTGATTATGCTCACCTCCACTGGCCTGTTTGAGAGTTTTATCTCCCCCTTCCTCTTTTCCCCTTGGCATAGTTTTTCGAGTTATGTATTTTTCGGAGTATAAGGCGCTCTGACGCACCTTGCTTTTGGGGAGGAAAACAAGAAAAAAAAATCTGCCTCTGCCTCCCAGCAAATTGCCTCCTTGCAGCAAACAGCCAGTTTCAGTTTCAGCACAGCCTGATTAGCACAAGCAGCTGATTGTCAGTTGGATTGGGTTCCCAATGATCAGCTGTTTCAGGCTGCAGGGATTGCCATTGCCTATTACTGCCTCCATGCGCCCCATTTTCGGCCTGTTCCGGGCGGTGGGAATTGGGATGGGCAGAAAACAGGGCACACGGACACCAAAAATGGGATGCGGAGGCCAAAAATGGGCCACACGGAGGCAGCAATAGGCAGTGGCAATCCCTGCAGCCTGAAACAGCTGATCGTTGGAAGGCCGATCCAACCGACAATCAGCTGCTTGTGCTAATCAGGCTGTACTGAAACTGAAACAAGCTGTTTGCTGTTTGCTGCAAGTAGGCAATTTGCTAGGAGGCAAAGGCCAAATGGAGGGGGCTGGTGGGTGGATGGGGCTTTGGCAACATTCAGTCTATGAGACGCACAGACATTTCCACCCCCTTTTGGGGTTGGAGAAAGTGCATCTTATACTCTGAAAAATACGGTATTTGGGTTTCCTGCCCAACCTGTTGAAAGTGGCTGGTGCATTTAAGACAAAAGAGTGCCATTTTGCTATGTGTTTGCTACAAGTTCCTGACATCCAAACACTTTCCCCTATAAGTCTTAAACTCTTTTAAGGATGATGCAGGTCTGTTTCTGCAGGGGTGGGGGGAATATTTATTAATATTCTAGGCTGCCCAATCCAAAACAATTAAGGCTGATGTCACAAAATTAAAATGATAAACATATATAAAATAATACAGGTGAAACTCAAAAAATTAGAATATCGTGCAAAAGTTTATTTATTTCAGTAATGCAACTTAAAAGGTGAAACTAATATATGAGATAGACTCATTAAATGCAAAGCAAGATTGTTCAAGCTGTGATTTGTCATGATTGAGATGATTGTGGCTTACAGCTCATGAAAACCCTAAATCCACAATCTCAGAAAATTAGAATATTACATGCAATCAATAAAACAAGGATTGTACCTAGCACAATATCGGACCTCTGAAAAGTATAAGCATGCATATATACTCTACTTGGTTTGGGCCCCTTTTGCAGCAATTACTGCCTCAATGCAGCGTTCCATGGAAGCTATCAGCCTGTGGCACTGCTGAGGTGTTATGGAAGACCAGGAAGCTTCAATAGCGGCCTTCAACTCTTCTAAATTGTTCAGTCTCATGTCTCTCATCTTTCTCTTGGCAATGCCCAATAGATTCTCTATGGGGTTCAGGTCAGGCGAGTTTGCTGGCCAATCAAGCACAGTAATCCCACGGTCATTGAACCAGGTTTTGGTGCTTTTGGCAATGTGGGCAGGTGCCAAGTCCTGCTGGAAAATGAAGTCAGCATCCCCATAAAGTTCGTCTGCAGAAGGAAGCATGAAGTGCTCCAAAATGTCCTGGTAGACAGCTGCGTTGACCCTGGACTTAATGAAACACAGTGGACCAACACCAACAGATGACAATGCTCCCCAAATCAACACAGACTGTGGAAACTTCACACTGGACTTCAAGCATCTTTCAGTGTGTGCCTCTCCATTCTTCCTCCAGACTCTGGTCCTTGGTTTCCAAATGAGATGCAAAAGTTTCTCTCATCAGAAAAGAGGACCTTGGACCACTGAGCAACAGACCAGTTCTTTTTTAGCCCAGGTAAGATGCTTCTGACGTTTGTGGTTCAGGAGCGGCTTGACAAGAGGAATACGATATTTGAAGCCCATGTCCAGGATCCGTCTGTGTGTGGTGCTTCTTGATGCACTGACTACAGCCTCAGTCCACTCCTTGTGAAAGTCCCCAGCACTTTTGAATGGTCTTTTCCTGACAATCCTCTCCAGGTTGCGGTCATCCCTGCTGCTTGTGCACCTTTTTCTTCCACACTTTTCCCTTCCACATAACTTTCTATTAATGTGCTTTGATAACAGCACTTTGGGAACATCCAACTTCTTTTGCAATTACCTTTTGAGGCTTTCCCTCCTTATGGAGGGTGTCAATTATGGTTTTCTGCACAACTGTCAGGTCAGCAGTCTTTCCCATGATTGTGATTCCAACTGAACCAGACTGAGAGACCATTTAAAGGCTCAGGAACCCTTTGCAGGTGTTATGGCTTAATTAGCTGATTAGAGTGGGGCACTTTGAGCCTAGAATATCGAACCTTTTCACAATATTCTAATTTTCTGAGATTGTGGATTTGGGGTTTTCATGAGCTGTAAGCCATAATCATCTCAATTATGACAAATCACGGCTTGAACTATCTTGCTTTGCATTTAATGAGTCTATCTCATATATTGGGTTCACCTTTTAAGTTGCATTACTGAAATAAATGAACTTTTGCGCGATATTCTAATTTTTCGAGTTTCACCTGTATATTGTTGTAAAAGACTATTTCCATGGGTCCCGGATTTTTCTGATGTTTTTTCCCTTGATATTTCCAGTAGACTACAATATTTTTTTTTCTTTTTCCAGTTCATTTCTTCTGGATCACTATGTATATCAGCTGCGAAGAATCAAAATCGTAGTTTGGTGAGAAAACTATAAGGCTTTTGAATGTCTTTTATGCTATTTATTTGTAAGCACTCATGACACTTCATATTGTCTACTGCTCAGTCTTAAACATTTGGGAAAGAAAAGCAAATACAAAAATCATACCACCTTCCTTCTTTGGTCAACTTTTGGTTCCAAGCCTTGCTTCCATTGAAAGTTCTATGTCAGCAGTCCAGAATTAGAGGCTCCTCCTTTTGGCAATGGGCTTCTTCCCAAATTCCCTTCCTAATGTGCAATCTGTCAGAAGCATGCCAGAAATGAGAGTAAAAGTATGGAATGAGTATGGGAATCAAATGGAAGAGAGAGCTGATGGTAGCCCTCCTACAAAGAGCTTGCTTTCTTCTCTCCTGTTTCTCTTCGGTTTAAAGCAGGGGTCTCCAACCTTGGCAACTTTAAAACTTGTGGACTTCAATTCCCAGAAGCTGGCTGAGGAATTCTGGGAGTTGAAGTCCACAGGTCTTAAAGTTGCCAAGTTGGAGACCCATGGTTTAAAGCAGGGGTCCCCAACCGCCGGGCCGCGGACCGGTACCGGTCCGTGGATCACTTTGCACCGGGCCACAAAGAAAATAAAAATAAAATAAAAATGGCGGCTTTCTTCGCCTTCGGTGAATGCTGCTGGGATCAGGGATCAAGGACACAAATGAAAGAAGGGGAGGGAGGAAGCAACCAAAGCCTGTCTTACTCTCTGGCTCAGTGGCTTCGGTTTCCTCCCGCCTCGTTCCTCTCTCAGTCGCTGTCTTGCTCCTCCACCAGCCCAGGAAGAAACTGCTTCAAAGAAGCCGGCAGGGTGGCTTTTCCTGTCGGCGCAGCTCCCCCGAAGCGCCCATTCACCCCCATCCCGCCGCCAATCAATCCAGGTTCAATCCAGTGCTCCGTTCTGCCTGCCTGCCTGCCTTCGTTTCTGGTTGTTTCGGAGCAGCTTCGGCTGAGAATAATAACTATTCGCCTCTTTTACTCAGCCGAAGCTGTTCCGATTCAACCATTAACGAAGGCAGGCAGGCAGGCAGAACGGAGCACTGCGGGCGGGCGGG